CCCCAAAACCCCAAAACCCCACAAGGCAAAACTTGTAAAGTGATTGATGAAATCAAGATTATAGAATTAAATTTTGAGTTGTTTTGAATCAAATTGTGTTATGAATTTCTCATATATCCAAATGTGTTTCGCTTTATCAGATTTAGTTGAACATGTTGATGTGCTGATTGAGATCTTTCACCTCAGTTGGAATAAGACTTATCACACTCTTAATAGGAGCTCCACTTAGTCTGAGAGTTCCTAGTTTCAAGATGTTGTGAGTATTCTCGAGGTTCTAGACCTGTCTCTCCTTGAAGGATTATATCTGATGAAGTCTGCTATCTTTTCCAAAGAGCACCTTGAAGGCTTCATTAACCTGATCCTTAGCTTTGAGGAACTCATAGTTGACCTTCTCCATGCCCTCATGAATAATCTCATTCTTGAGCTGCTTCTCACTTTCTAGTTGTTGTTCCTCTCTCTTAGTGATATCAATGACCTTAATCAAAGCCATTTCTTTCTTCATTTTCTTCTTCAAATACATCACATTATCAAGAGCTTATTCAAGATTTATTTGGTCTTGTCTTGAAATCTTGGCCCCAATATCTCTCTTTTCTCTTTAAAGCTTGATATACTCATTCATTGGTCCCTCAGTCTTTTCAAGCTTGTGAAGTCTTTCGAGTAAATGCTGACCTTTGAGTTGCATTCTGTCTTTTTAGAGTTCTACAATGACATTTGTGAATGCCTCCTCAGAGATTTAAAGTTATTTCTGAAGTTCATTACTAGTAACAGAGGTTGACTGTCTAGCCAATGGAGTCATTGATTCTCTCTTGTGTCCGAGCAATGAAGACTAGGCTAATTTTTAGAAGTACTGACTGGTCCTTGATTGTCTGGTTTGAGCGTTTGTAGTTGACTGCATCACCATTCTCTTGGTACTTGATCTGTTTAGCTCACGAGCTAGAACTGGATTATTCTCAAAGTCGGCGAGTTTGCCTTGAAGATCTTTTTCCTTTTCTCTCAAGTTCTCAATTTCTTTCTTTGCCATTTCAATCTGCTGTGAGTAATAAGATTCCTTTTCAATAAGTCTCTTTTTCTCCATCTCAAGAGCTGGAACCTTTTCAGCCTTGGACTATGCATCTCCAAGTCTCTGTTCTAGAGATTGGTTAACAACTGAAAGGTCGTCTTTTTCTCTCTTCAGCATTAGGAATTACATAGCTTAATCCTTTACTTTCTCTTACAAACTTTCAATCTTTTCCTTCATGGCTCCTGTATCTTCAAGGTCTTATCTGATTTTGTCGACTATCAATGTCCATGGACCTTTAGCATCCCATCCCTTAGCATAAATGTCGTTGATAACAATCTGAGAGTTGTGATACTCCTGATCAATTTTGCTAGCAAGTTTCTTGAATTTGTAGTCGTTGTTTAGCTGAGTAATGTCTCTTTCTATTGCTTCGAGAATTGAACTCCAGTCTCTCTCTTGTGGTTCAACTTAAGACTGTGGATCTCTTTCCCACATGACTCTGATAGAACTGTATTTCTAGTCTAGTCTGTTGTCCGTGCCCAGCTCCTACATGTTCAAGAATTCTGAGCCATTCTCCATCAACTCAATGCTGTCTATTCTAAAGATGATCTCAAGAATTCTCCAATAGATAAGCTTGCACTTAGTCTGAGTCTCCTCCATCTTGTTATTCTAGTTGAAAGCTGAAAGAGCAATTATGCCAAGTCCCATCTTCAAGCACTCATTTCTGAGCGAGAGCTTTGGCACATACTTCAAATCCTTTTGTCTCTCTTGCTGTGAAACACTCAAGTTTGAGGTCACCTGCCCTGAAGCTCTCTCTTAAGCAAGCTCATCAGTACTCTTTTCAATGTACCTTGACTCTGAAGTATATTGCAGATCTGTTACTGACTTAACACATTGAATGAATGGAGAAATGTCAAACTTATATGAAAGAGCTTCATCCTTCAGAAGTTCCATAACTCTATCAAGGAAAGTGTTGATCAACTCAAACTTATTCCATGCCATGAGTTTAGTCAACTCTTGATACTTTTCAATAGACATTTTCTGCACAATATACATAATTCTTCCGCAGGAGTCAATGAATCTTATGCAGTATTCAGAGATGTTAATCAGCAGCTTAAGGTAAATTGCCCATTGCAACTTATCATCAAAGTTCTGCTCAGACTAGAGTATTTGCTTTTCGCAGATCTCTCTGGTCAGCAGCAATGCCTTGTTCTTGGTCTTGTTAAGCATTTGAATCTTCTCAAGAGAGTCAAGTCTAGACTCCTCTACTAGTCTCTTGGGCACAAATCCCTCGATAACTCTCATCTTGAGTTTTTCTTGCCAGAACTCAATCTTTTGGACCATAGTCTCCATGTCTTTTTTGCCAGCATCTCTGAGTTTAGTGATAAGCTGGTTCTGCTTCTCAATCAGAGTTGAGATCTTAACCTTTTGATCTCCTGCTGAATAAGCAGATTGCAACTCTTCTTGCAGCATCTTAGATTTTTGAGTGAGTTCATTGCACTTGTCCTTGTACTTTTAAATCTTTTAGTCCTGTTCTAGAACCATCTCTTCAAGTTGAGTCACATTTTACTCTAGGTTGAAAATTTCAGCATCTTTGCCAGCGATATCCTGGTTAAGCTCCTTCACGTAATTCTCTTGGTTCTCATTGAGCTCTTCTTGCACACCATTCATCTCCTCTAGTTCATTAATTCTTTCAATAAGTTGTTCATTTTCCTCTTCCTTCTTAAGAATCTCTTCAGCCATTTCTTCTACCATCTTTTCATACTCTGCACCCTCATCTATTTTCTCCTCCATTGCTTTGATTTCCTAGTCCTTAATCTCCACTTCTTCAATAAGCAGATCCATATCTTCAAGCTTTTTCTCATAATCATCAACTAAAGCTGCTCTTTTCTCAAGATCATGAATTTTGCTCTGCATCTTTGACTTCTCTACCTCAAATCCCATAGTTAAGGCTGAGATTGCTTGTCTAAGCTTAGTATTTTGACTCTTTAACTCATCCTCAGTGAGTCCAGCGAGTGAAGCCTAGTCATTGATCTCGCTTGACATCTTGATCTGGCTTATAAGTTCTTCTCTTTCGTCCTTCAATGCATCTATTTCTAGCTGGATAGTCTCAATATCGAGTTGTCTAGCCTCGACCTCTTCTTGTAGTCTAATTTTTTCAACTTCAGCTGCTTTAAGTAAGTCAGCTTGTTCATGCACTTTCTTGATTGCTTCATCTCTCTCATGAGCCAGTTTATCAATCTCAGCTCTGTAAGCGGCCTTTTATTCCTCTATTTAATGTTGAAGCAATAAAGTCTATTCATTGTTTTAAGTAGGAGTCTCAACAGTGACAACTGATGGTTGCATGAGTTAGGTTTCATTCAATTTCTACTCCAATTCTAAGATTTTTATCTCGTATTCTGTTTTAATCATCTCAATACGCGATACATTATCAAGCTGCATCTCGTTTATCTTCTCAGACAATTCTTTAACCTCTATTTGAAGGGCAAATGCTTCTTCTTTTTTCTTTCTAAGTTCAGCTTCTTACTTTTTGAACTCCACTTGAGATACACTGCCTGCTCCTGCAAAAGCCTAAGTTTACTGGCTTGGTTCACTCTGCTTAACAATTGAATTGCCTCTCTACAATGCATGACTAATGATAGTTCTTGAAATGTTTGGTCTGCGGGTTCCAGGTTCTTCCTCTTCTTCGATAATACTCTATCTCAAGAAGTTTGGATCTTCTATTGATTGTGTCTTTGGGAGGCCTACTTTATTTCTGACTTGCTATCTTTCGATTGAAGCAGTCCCTCTAACATTTGATTGTCGTGAGGATGTTGCTCCTGTTGTCTTTTAAGCTGGTGTGGTGTCTGATTACTTCTTGTCCTCCTCAGCTTTTTATTGTCTTGCTGTAAGTGGTCTATTCTAGGAGGAAACAGTTGAAGTTCTGGTTTCAGCAGTCTGACCAACGGTTCTCTTGACTCCCGCTCTGAGGGCAGCAGATGGATCAACTTTTGGTTATGGCTCTGATTTTGTCTTGTCTTGAGCATTTTATTACTAAGCTGCTGCACCTAGTCTTGACTAGGCAACTCGAGAGGCAGCAGTACCAGCTGGACCTGTTTTTACTTCTGACTACCTGCTTTCAAGCTTGGCTCTAACCTCTTCATTTTTCTTCATAATTTTTTCTTTTGCAGCATCAGTAGCCTAAACTGTAGAAGTTTTGCCAGCTGTATTCGCAGGATTTACACTCGTTCTACCCTGAATTCTCGATTGAGCAGCAGTCTGCTTCATGCCTGCACCTAGTCTGGAAGCCAGTCCAGTAGCCTTTTTTTCTTCTGTTTTCTCAGGCGCTACTTATTGCTCAGTTGAAGATTGATGCTGTACAGTTTCCATTGGCTATGGCTCTTATTGCCTCAATCCAGGTCTTAGTGACTGCCTGACTACCTCTTACTACTTGACAGCAAGTTTTCCATCTTTATCTCGCTAAATGCCAGGTGCTGGCTCAAAAACTTTCTTGATTTCTTCTTGTTCCTTTTTCTATTCTTCATTGTGAGATGCGTGAGCCTTAATTTCTTCATCTTAAAGCTTCTTTAGTTCCTTTTGCTTTCTGAGCTTCTCAAGTCTATCCTTCCAACTTGAAGTTTTACTTTCCCCAGCATCGCCAGCATTATTTTGGACCTCTTAGTTGGCATTCTCGTTTTATGAAGCTTACTTGACAGCTTGTGCAAGCACTCCTCCCATCTACCTTACTGGCGGGTCTTTTGGAGTTAGCAATGGAGAATCGCTCACATTATTATTTGTTGCGATATTTAACTTTGGCACCTAACACCAAGTTTATATTAAAAGTAAGTAAATTTACATCTACTTGAGCTGCTATGACTTTTACTTGAGTTGACCTCAGTAGTAGTCCATGACCAGGTCTGCATTCAAAGAGCATCATGCCATTCACTGAGCCATCCATATCTCCTTTAGGTTACTAATAACATTAAAGAAATGTTAAAATTACATCAAGTTCTACACCGACCCAGATACCGATTTTGTCCTCAACTTCTCCATAGAATTTGACTACTCCTTCTTGTCCCTTGAACTTGAAGGAGTTAATTGCTACCCTATTGCCGATTTGAATTTAAGACATCTATTTATCTTATTATAATTTCTGACTGTGTATCTTTTATCAATCGCTATATAGTTATCGCTCGGGGTTTTGGGGTTTTGGGGTTTTGGGG